AGGCCCTAGGTAAACTACCAAAATGTGGCCTTCTACTCTCTATGTATATTTATTCGATTATTTTTTTTATAAGTTAAAAAATTATATGAACTCAAAGTCAAAATTGTAATCTAAAAAGAAACAAACAAAATGTAATTCATATAAAAACTTTATAAAATGCATCAAAATATCACTCATCTTGTATTTTTCAATGCCAAAGTATCAATTAACTTTGCATAATCAAGTTTTTCTAAAATGTCTTTTTCAATAGAAAATAAGCAATAGTCTTGTGGGTTTTTACCTTCTTGTTCTTCCTCGAAGATTGCTTCCTCTTGCAGTAGATATTCAATAATAAACTGCTTGTTTTTTTTTTTCCTTGTGTTAAGTATAGCATATTTTCCTATATGCCGTTTAACTTTTAAAAAAAATATATAAATAATTGATCCTTTATTAAGTTTCCATTTTTTTTAGTTTTAGAGTAAATAATTGGGCTTTTTTAAAATAGTACTTGGGATTAATATAATAATAATATAGTACAATTTTTAAAGTAACACTACCAAAAAAAACAAAAAAACAAAAGTGGCAACAGTCACGTCACCCCAGCATTAGTCACCAAATATCACCAAATAATGGTGACTGGTGCCTTTTTTTTTTTTTTTTTTTTTTTTGTGTAACATACATATGTATATATAGAGGTTTATAAAAATTGGAGGCCCTAGACAACCGCGTTACACACCTATGCTCAGGGCCTCCCTTGATTCACAGACTGTGTGGCAATGGTTAATCAGGCTAGCTTAATGAACTTTCGAGAATGAAATTCGTATATTTAATTTAAGGACATGCAAATGAAACTCTTCATGTTTAATTCTAGGAGAGGGAAATGGAACATTTACATTCACATATTATAGGGAATGTTGGGAATAAGGACAAGCAAATGCCAATATTAAGAAGGAAATACCTCGGCTCCTTAAAACTGAGAAGCTACTCCTTACAACTAATGTGGTTTTGACACGTGTTAAATTTTTTTATTTTTTTTATTTTTTTTTGAAACTTTGTCAATGTTTCTAGAATTTGTAAAGTATCAAAACCCCATTGATTTTAAGTAGGATCTTCTCCTTAATTTTAAGCAGAAAAGCCTAGCTCTATTAAAAATTGAGATGCGTTCAACTTTTCTATAACGCTGTTGCATTGTTGTTAAAAAATTATTAATACTTTCAATGGTCAAAAGTGGTGTTTGAAATTTTAGGTAAGTTGGTCCAAAATATTTCATTAAATACTTTCTCAAGGGGAGTCAAGGGTAAGAACTTCCCCCGATATGGGAAGTGTGAGAATGTGAAGGTAAAAAGTCCCACATTAGAAAGTTAGAAAATCTTGTAATGGCTTATAAGGATTTGACTTACTTCCTCCATTGCCAGTTGGTTTTGGGGTGGACCCCCAACTTCCTTCATAGTATCAGAGCAGTTGCCCACTTGTGAAAGCTCAACAGCCACACGTGCTCCACATGACCCAATATGTGTTATCCACGTGTTACAAATTCGCCACACGTGCAGGAGCGTGTGAAAATGTAAAGGTAAAAAGTCTCACATTGGAAAGTTAGAAAACATTATAATGGCTTATAAGGAGAGTTAAGCTACTCCGTCCCATTACCAATTAGTTTTGGCGTGGAACCTCAACTTTCTTGAGGAAATTCATGCCCATATGTCAAGCATTAAATTCACAAATATTTCCCCATACTATCCAAATATGTTCCCTAAACCCTCATACCAATTTCCCTAGCTTTTAAATCTTGAACCAAATTAGCTATCAGTGGCAAGGCTTTTTATAGTAAGGATGTCCATGTTTTCCTTTTTAGACTATAAACAATGATCATAATTGTACACTTTTTAGTTTCTCTTTACTTATTATCCATAAAAAATAAAATACAAAAGCTAAATGATAATTGTATATCTATTTTCATTTCAATTTTATCTGTTGGAAAATTTTCAAATTTTTTATTATTATTATTGAAAATTCAAAGTGAAAAGATTTGATTATTACAACAATTTTTAATAATAAGTGAATTTTTCATAGTTTACCAAATGGGCTGGGCTTCCCAAAATTTTTAAAAAATCACTTATCATCCCAAATAAGCAATGTCAAATGGGCATTCTGAGTGCTTGTTCTCCTGTTTTGTGTTTGCTCCTGTGATGGAAGAGTAAAGTTTCTCATTGCCTTGAAAACCATTGACTGGTCAACAAGTCAACTTTCTTTAGTGTGCAAGCGTGCCACTGCTAGTAATGAAACTCCTAGCAGACTTCTTTAAAATAGATAACTTGCGCCCCAAGTTACTGATTTCTAAACAAGCGATTGTGAATTTGGGTGAGGAATATCTCCCAAGTAAGTTTTTTTCTTACCTTAGACTGGTGAGGACTTCACAATTTATCTCAGTACAAAATTAGTGGTTCTTGCCAGAATAAATGATAATAAAGTGGACTGTTTTAGATAGAACTGCCTTTTACAAAACTAGAAAGGGAAAAATCAACTCCATAAAGACAAAAAGATGGCTAGAATTTCCATTTATGCCTGGATAGAAGCTTCTGATCTGGTTTGGACTGAGTATATCTGTGCTAGACTGGACTGTCCCTAGCTTCAACTGCTTAGCTTCAGCTGTAAATCAATACCAAAATTCAATTTTGGCAGAGCTTTAATCTACTTCAAACCTTAGGAGGCTTTTGAACGGGAAGAATTGCGGCCTCTTCAGTTTGAAAGGGGCAGAAGTGGCTGGACTTAAGGACTTATTGAGCTGGAACTGCATTGTAGTACCTGTTCTGCTTGATCAGGGCTCTCCATAAATTTGTTGAGGTTTTCATATTTGTGAAAACTCAAACTCTACTTGTTCTGGCTTTTACTGAACCAAATTTGTAACGAGAGAAGTTTCGTTTTGAATGACTTATTTCTCTAAGTCTGAACTTGGAAGTTTTGATCTATAGCTGGCTTCTTTTGTGGCTCAAATGAGCTTTTGGTTGTTCCAGTTTGTTTTGAAGGTTCTCAGTGATCAAGTGATCATTTTGAGTTTTTGCCTTTGGTTGATTTTTGATTGTTTGATTGATTGTCTTTTACTCTGTTCATCCTCTCTTATATTTATAAGAAATGTTTTTTTGGAGTGGGGTAATTCTTTTAATAATGGGCAGCAAAAATTCTAAAAAAATCTCTCATTTTTAAATGCAAAAAAAAAGGGATTTTATCAATTCTGGTGGATAAGCTCTCAATAGTCAGTTCTTAAGACAATCATTTCTTTGTTTTTTGAAATAGAACATAACCCCTCTTTAATTCCAACTGCCCCTTGTGAGAGCTCAAACCTTGATGGTTAGTTTGATTTTCCAGTTTGAATAACTCTCTGTTTTCCTGCTTATCTCTTTTTGAGAACATAGCCTGCGTATCCCTTGAAAGATGGTGCCTTCCTTAGAGTAGAAACATTATCTCTAAATATATAAAAGGGATTTGATCTTCTAGTGGCAGAGATTCAGAGATGTTCCCTCTTTGTTGCCTGCCTTTGTTAACTTTTATCAACCCAGTTGAGAATATTGACTTTTTCAAAGTTTTTCAAACAGTCACGTGAGTCTTCCTTTGTTTTTGGTTTTCTTTTTAATCATACCGGGCCCCGTCTGAATTTCCGGGCCATGGGCTGATTTCTCTTTCTATTATTTCGAGTCCCATGTTTTATTGTTATGTCTTGATAGATCCCGAGCTGGGTCTTCTTGGATTTTGGGCCTTTGATTCCTGTTTATTTTCAAAGTCCAGACTTCTCGGGTCCTGTGTTTTGTCCTTGTTATTCTGGGCTCTGTAGCGTTGGGCTGGGTGCGCAAGATTTTGGCCTAAGCAGTGCTACAATTGTTAGAACGTGGTCGTTGTATTCTAGGACACAAGTGCCGATCAATCAACCATGAGCAGTGTAATGGGCCTTAAACGGTCTTAAGAACAAAATGTCAAGCTTTTGCCTCTACCATTTTTCAGGTTTTTCTAACTCATGTTAGGTTAATTTAACATATATATACTTGTGAGTGGTAGATTTGAGCATGAAATTGCATGATTGTTTCTAAATTTTCTATGTGATCACACAGCTAAAAGACCCTACTTTGTCCAAAAACAATCGTATAGATTGCAGTCACATTTGTGTAGAGGAAGTCCAAAGAAAATTAAAACTAGCATACCTCAATTGACTTCCGAATGATCTTTATTACACGGTTGGAGAAAAAGAAGAAAAAAGAGAGCATGATAGATAATTATCTGCCATAAAAGTACAAAGGTGAATCGGGTTTGTCATCCACATGGCTACTACCAAATCGATCATTTTCTTTTTCACTGTACAAACGGATGTACATGAGCTGACACTATATCAATCCAATTCCAATTCCAGCCCAACGGTCCTACTCAGCTGACACCAATTTGGAGTTTCTCTCTCACCTCCTTTTTAGCTTCAAAAAAGGCTTTTAATTTTGCAAAAAAGAAATAAAATAAAGCTCACGAGAGCCAGCTTGACAGATTTTCAAAAAAACTTCAAAAAAAGGGCATCCACAAACCAAGTATAAACAGGAGAAAGAAAAAATTATACGTAGCAATCTCACATAAAACAAAAACTTAAAAACAAATCTGAGAGAGAGAGATCTCAACCCAAGTTGTGGTTGAGATCCATCTGACCTCTATTCACTTTCTCCACTACGCTGCAAAAAAGAAAACAAAACCATCATCTCCAGACCCATTATACAATTTTGTTTGTCTCCTCTCTTCTCTCTTCATTTCATCTCTCCTAATTAGTTTCCAGAAAAAAAAGAGGAAAAAATCAGAGAGTTTAGTTTCTGCTCGAGCAGTACTAATTATTACCAGTCTACTTGAAACTAATTTTCATGGAATAAACTTATATCTTTTGCGCAGACTAGCTTGTAAGCTAGGAGTCGTTTAATTTCAATATCAGATTATACATATTGTGTGTGTATATATATATCTATATAATATATAACTGGAGATTTTGAAAGGGTTGCTTGATGCTTATTTTATCACCTTTGAGGGATGGCCATCATCAGCTCAAGGAGGAGAAGCAGTTAGGTGGCGGCGGTAGAGATGAGGGTGAGGTGGAGGGTTTTGATTTCAATGGAGGGAATAGCGTGGGGTCGGCGGGGCTGGACTTCCCGGAGTTTTCGGGGGGAATGGGGAACCTGCTCGACAGCATCGACTTCGATGACCTCTTCATCGGCATCCATGACGGCGACGTGCTCCCCGATTTGGAGATGGACTCCGAAATTCTTGACTTTTCGGCTCACCGAGACCATGGTGACGAATATTATCATAATAACGCAAAGACGACTTTGTCCAAAGTGGAAGACCAGGAGGAGGAGGAGGAGGAGTGTAAGGACCGTGCCAGAGCGGCAGCGGATAGTTTAACAAGTGCTACTACTACGAGAAATAATCAGAACTACTCGAGCTCCAGTAATACTAGTACTACTACTACTTCTGCCACTCAAGATCAGGATCGAGATGGAGGACATGAAGAAATTGGGAGTAAAGGAGACTGTAATAGTAATATTAATAATAATATTAGTCAAATTAGGGCATCTCAGCATGAACAAAATCAGCTGCTCAATCAATCGTCGAGCCCCAAAGAATCAGCTGATCAGAAATTGGCTCGGAAGTCATCATCCACTGCGCAATCCAAGAATTCTCATGGGAAAAGAAAAGTTAAGGTAATCTTAATTACTACCAAATACATTTATTTATTATTGTGAAGCTGACTCGTGCTATGGATAGAAAGTACTCTCTCTCTCTCTCTCTCTCTCTCATGGGGTCTTCACAAACTTGATGAACTGCAAAGGATTCACGGGAATCATGCAGGAGAGGCGCAGAGAGTGACTGGAATTCATTTGTTAATAATATTAATTATCAAGTTTATGAAGGGCAATAATTGAGAGAGAGAGAGATAATGGGTTCTTTTTTTTGTTATGATGAGTGTACTTTTCCTTTTCTTTTGAATTATTTGTTAACTTTTACTATTATTATTATTATTATTAGGCTATTATTATTTTTTGTGGTTATGTGGGATTATTTTAAAGGGGAGTAAGGGAACGTTGTGTTTTGGTGTTGTTGAATTGTGTGTAGGTGGATTGGACACCAGAACTGCACAGGAGGTTCGTGCAAGCAGTAGAGCAGCTAGGGGTGGATAAGGCAGTGCCTTCTAGGATTTTAGAGCTTATGGGAATAGATTGTCTCACTCGCCACAATATTGCTAGCCACCTTCAAGTACAATTTTTATCCCCGCCTCTTACTCTGGCTAGTTTTCATCTATATATATGCAGCTAGCTTGTTTAATTTAATTATTTCCATTAATAATTATGGACGACCCTTTTAACACACATCATCGATGCAGCTAGCTTGTTTGCGGGCTTGTTAATATGTCAGTAGATCTGCAACTTTTTGTTCTTCTTGGTTTTTGGGTGTTTCATTCAGTTTAGAGAAAAGGGTTTAATTTTTCTCCCCAAGATTGATCCAAAAACAAGTATGGAAAAAGGGTTTTCTTCAAAGAGAAAAAAATAAATCTATTTAGGACTAATATACAAGTTTGTTTCTTTCACAATTTTGGAATTTGCCTTATATTTATTTTCCAATTAATTAAACTAGAATATTAAGATGGATGAAGAAGAATTAATAATTTAATTTTAAATATTAATGTGCAGAAATATCGATCCCATAGGAAACATTTGCTAGCCCGTGAAGCAGAGGCAGCAAGCTGGACCCAGAGACGACAAATGTATGGGGCAGCAGCTGTCAGCGGAGGAGGAGGAGGAGGAGGAGGAGGAGGAGGCAAGAGTAGTAGAAGTGACGTCATGATGATGAACAGCCCTAATTGGCTCAATGCACCCACCATGGGTTTCCCTCCCATACCTAGCCCTACACCACCACCCATGCACCACCACCACCACCACCAGATGATCAGACCCTTACATGTGTGGGGCCACCCCTCCATGGACCAATCTATGATGCACATGTGGCCAAAGCATCTTCCCCATAATTTCCCATCTCCAATACCACCTCCTCCTCCACCTGCACATGCATGGCCTCCTCCTCCTCCTCCACCTTCGGATGCTTCGTATTGGCACCACCCTCCCCCTCACCACCAGCGTGTAACTCTCTCTCTCTCTCTCTCTCTCTCTCTCTCTCTCTCTCAATTGAAATTCCATTGTCCTCTTCAGATGAGATTGTTTTTTAAATGAATTATGGTGTTAGATTAAATTCTGATTTTGATATATATATTTTGTGTTAGCCAACATAAAATACCAAAATAAAAATAATAATCTAATTATCAAGTTTAACGAAAAAACCATCTATGAAAATCAAAATGATTAATTAAATATATTGTTGATTTTGGTGTAGGTTCCAAATGCACTAACCCCAGGAACACCATGCTTTCCAAGGCACCTAGCTACTGCGACGGTAACAAATCATTCCTTACTCTTTTGGAGGTTCTAGTTAGCCTGAGTGTTTTTTGTTGGTACAATTAATGCACTTTTGGAGCAGCATGTAAATGACTTATTGGCATCTTTTATATATGCATGTGATTATATTTGTAAATGGAATATTATTTTGGCTTATATAAAATACTTTTTGTTGAATTTTATTTCATGCAGCAGCAGAGATTTCCCGCTCCACCTGTCCCAGGCATTCCACCGCATGCCATGTACAAAGTAGACACAGGCATCGCTGTCCCCTCTCCGCAATCTGGGCCCCACCCTCTCGTCGACTTTCATCCGGTCAGTATCTCTATGGCTTTTTGTCCTTTTTGACTTGGTGATTTTTATTCTCAAATATATGAATATGATTTACAAGAATCTGTAGGGGGATTTCATAATGGATAATGTTACTCTTATCACATTTGTATACTACATTCTCATACCACTTTACGTGGCAGATGAGGTGGACAACCACATTAATTAAATTAATTTAACATTTTCTTTTCTTTTATGATTTATTGATACTTTTTAAGTGATGTGGTTGTCCACTTCATCTACCACATAAGATGGTATGAAAATGTGGTAAAAGTAGCATTACTCTTTCATGATTGAATCGGAAACATAAAACAACAAAAAAATAAAAAAATATTGTCAGAGGTTGAGCCTTATGAGCGATAACTTTTGTTTTTCCTTTTTTTTCAAAGAGCAATTGTGACTGCATGCCTTGCTTTATTTCTGGGCTTTAGGATTCAAGTACGAAAGTCCAAACCCTAAACTCTTGATTACCGAAAAACAAAAACAAAAAACCTAAACTCTTATAAATTTCAATGCCACGGCCCACTTGCTTCGTATCTGAACTTCAAAAGAAAAAAAGAAATCCGATCTAGTATACATAAGGAGCGTCATACTTTTTTGTTTCATCAAGGAGGAGGGATAGATTCAAACTCAGGACGTAGAGTAGTATGAACAACTTATGACAGTACTGATTTGGTTATACATTCATGTAACAGTCAAACGAGAGCATAGATGCAGCTATTGGAGATGTTTTATCGAAGCCATGGCTGCCTCTTCCTCTTGGCCTAAGGCCTCCGGCTACTGACAGCGTCATGGTGGAGCTGCAACGGCAGGGAATTCCAAAGATACCGCCCTCCTGTGCTTGAACCAGATCTTCTACATTTCTCAAACATGTATGTTGTTTGATGATGTGTTCAAGACAGAAGAGAACCCCAAAATTAATCTGACGACATGTCCTTCCGCGTAGATGTGCACATTGACCTGAACATCTGCGAGTTTTTCTTTTTCTTTTTGGCCCATCATTTTTCTAGGCCTTGCATAAATTAATTGAGTACGTACTTCTACTTTATCTATGCACAACACCTTCTTATATTAATTAGCATATGTGTAATAATAAAGCCAATAATTTTTGTAGTGCGGTTGTTCTAGATTGTAGAGTAAATAAATTACGGCCCATAACAATTTTATTTTTATTTTTGAATTTTTGTTTTCACTTTTTAAAAAACAAAATAAAAACCAAAAACATGTTCGGTAATAAATTTCTTTTGTTTTCAGAAAAATGAAAACATGTTTTCAAAATCATCCTTGTTTTTTAAAACAAATTAAAAATATTTTCAGTTTTCAAATTTCATTGCACTCCAGTTTATCCAATGAGCCCTACAGTTTTCAGGATTGATTAATGAGGGTCTTTCACTTTATAGTGGCAACTATGTATAGGTTGAACAATTTGTATGTATGTACATGCGAGTCCTTATTTAGTTAGGATGTTGGTTACTTACGCTTTTATAGTCTTATTGTGATTGAGATTTATTTTCTTTTTTTGTTATTATCTCTTTTAAGGTTAATACATCTTTGTACTTCTTTATAAATACCACCATATTGGAGAAGAATATATATGTAAAAAAATTCTTATATACTTTGTTGGCATGGTATCAAAGCCGAATGATCTAGTGCCTTGCAATTACGCTGCTTACATTGACATATTCCCATGAAGATAATATTGCATATTTCTTGGCTTCGACAACCCCTTCTCTTCAGGAAGGAGGAGGGGGGGTGGTGGGGGGGGTGGTGAAAAGTTGTGTCTGCTTGAATTATATAAAATTGATTGAAGAATTCTCCTTACTTTGCATTTGCCTTGCCTTACCTTTGCCTTTGTTTTTGTTAGAAATATGCCATAGAAGCCAATATATAAATGGAAATTCTAGGATATAATATTACATAACTATAATTAATAGGGCGTGAATGTTACTTTAAAAAATGTATATGCAAACATTAAAGTAACAAGTCCATGGATAATGATATAAATGGAAAGCAATGTAAGGATGTTAGATTCACGAGATATTTCCATCATAATATATCATATCCTAAAATGTTCCTAGTCATAGGATCACCAATTGGACAATGGTGACCAGCAAATACTGGTACACACAATGTCTACTCAATTGGGAGGATGACTAGTCTCAAGTCATTCGTGTAGAGACACTAAGACAAGTATGTAAGTATTCGATAGAGATAGAGTTCATTGAACGCGATCAAACTAAGAATTCTTGTATGGTAGTTTTACTCACAAGTGTCAAACAAGTAATTCTAAGTTGCGATAATGCAAATTAGTCCTTAGGCCTGAGACATCAGTTGTCTTGTGGATTAGTTGTTTGTTTTTTAGAACACTATAAAGTCACATCAAAAGATATGACTTAAAGGTGCTCATCGAGATATCCGACAAGTTCAAAGAGGCATGTGAATGTACAAAAAGGAATCTTTACTCTTAGTAAGAAGAGAGAATACTCTAAAGACTGGGATGAGAATTGAAACGATAATGTTTGCAATCACATCCAAGTGAATCATATAACCTAGAAATGTCACATTAGGAATTTGACACGAGTTAACCGTATCCCAACAATGTGACATAGAGTATTGTATTAGAGAATGACCGAATTGCATTGCAATCATAAACTGACTAGCTTCTCCAATGAATTTTAGGTAACTTGGATAGCCATGACATACTGCTAGGTGTCAACCATGATTTGTGGAAGCCCTGTAAGGCCTAACTATAATTAGCTTTCACCAATAGGGAGAATTTTATGGAGGGATACAATTCATACTCGATTTAGAAGAAGTTGGACTTACCCATGGCCTCGCTAATTAGAACCTATAAGATCACACACCAAAAATGGGTGGATTGAGAACTAGAAAAGATAAAGAGATTTGTTGGCTTGGTCAACGTCAATGAAAAGTCAAAGGTCAACTATTGACCGGACACTTGACACAGTCAATTAAGGTTAACTAGGACCAATACTTGTTAGACTAGTTAGTGACTTAATTTGTAAATTCATTAAACAAATTAAACAAATTAGAATAGTTTTAACTTATTGAATTAAAGTTATAGAACATTAATTGGGTTCCACATGACTTAAGTAATAAAGAATTGGACCATAGGACTTTAGACACATGTGACACATTAAGGAATAAATGTAAAGGACCAAGATAGCCTAAAATTAGGCCACCAAGAGGGAGATGGGGCACATGTGGAAATAAGTCCACATGTGTCACATATGTGGGTCTATAAGATAGAAGTCATGGCACCATTTTCTTTTAGGGTTTTCAAGTTAGAATTTTGGAAAAGAGGAAATATCACACCTCTCTCTCTCAATACCCTCTTTGCTGGCCACTTTGGAGAGCAAGGGCTAGCACTTTTGTCTCCCAAGTTATCAATCTCTCGTCTCAACCATCCTTGATGAAGAGTTTTGGGGATCTTGCACACCTTTGTATCTATTTGAAGAGCCATAGTGGAGAATCCAACAAGATTCGCTCCAGGGGTAACTATATCTTTATCCCTTTCTTTAAAAGTAGTTTAAAGAGTCAAAGCTGCAATTTTTGATAAACCTAAAAAGATTTGGGAATAATAGGACGTGTATGAGTTTCTAGATTTTGTTTTTGCTTTTGCTACTTTTGAATATGAGATATGTATATGCTAGATAATTCATTATCATATTTAAATGTAGGGTTAATTACAGTTTATTACCATGTGGTTATACCTTAAGACATGTTAGTTCATACCTTTTCGACTTTTACAATTAGCTACCTTAGTCTTTTAAATTTGTTACTGTTGAGGCCCAAAAAATCCACGGTTAGGCCCAAATGAATTTCCAGCCTAGCGCAATGTCTTATTAATAAAAGACCCAATTTAGAGCATACGAGAGTCTACCATGCACAAGTCACAATCCACGAGCCATGCCAAATAAATAATCCATCATGCCAAGGATTGAGATAAAGATCATAAAATACACTAGCTCTACGAGCCCATGCTAATTACCCCGTCAAGCATCATGATAAAAAGCATGCCATGCCAAGCGGGAAATCATTATTTCCCACCCCAACCATGCTACAAGCCAAAGTGGACCCAAGCCACTCAAATGCCCGAGGCTTGCTTGAGTGGGTTGTGGTATGGATGGTAATAAGTTGTCATGAGGCCCACTGATGGGCCGAGAAATGAAGGTTCCGAGTTGCTTGGGAGCCTCAGAACTCAAGCCCATTTCTTAGGCCCAAATATGTGGGTGAGCACAAAGGAGAAAATAGTCCACTACTTAGCCAAAATAGCCCATTAACTTAACCAAATTAGCCCAACACCTCAACAAAATAGGCCAACACTTGGTGAGGTTAGCCCATTTATTTGATAAACCAACTCATTGTCCTAGAAGGCCCATGTAACTAAAATAAAGAGCTGCAAAAGCCTCAGCACTTGGCTGAAAAACAAAAGCCACAAATGGAGCTTGGAGGTCCACGTGCGCAGAGCTGTTGGGAGGCTCCAGTACATGGGAAAGAACAAGTTTCAAGCAAAAAACATCCGAATGACCAAAGGATTTTAGCGCGCAGGCTGCCAGGAGGAGAGGCACCTTTTGAACCAGCATGTATACCAATTTTCTTTCCTTCATCAGATCTAGCCATGGAAGGAGGAAGGAAAGAAAAGAAATAGCTGAGAATGGGAGTCTCCCACTAAGACAGCTGTGGGAAATGGCCTTGAGCACCCAAAAATCCCTAATTTTGTGCAAATGGGTAGAGAGAATTTCACCAAGATGGGGAAAGTCAAGGGAGGAGAGAAGAAAGAAAGGGAAAAGCTTGGCTAAATTGGATAGAAACCATTAGGGTTTCTTGGAAAAGAGTAGCTTCCAGCGGCTATAAATAAATCCTCTTCTACCCAACAAAAAAACATCCACATCCAGAGAGCAAGCTTCCTCTCCTACCTGCAAAAACCCAGTAAAATTCGTGCTCTATTCCGCCTTCTCCCCCATTTTCCCTCTTCTGGCAAATTGCTCTAACATTTGATAGAGCCTCTGTCAAGCTGCCGGAAAAACACTTAAGCCATCCATTCCCCTCTCTTTCCCTCATTCTCAGCCAAACCTCCCTGCAAAACCTTTCTTCTCCTACCTTAATACCCCTTTTGCCCCAGGAACACTTAAGTTTCTCTTCAGTGCTAAACTCATGACAATTTTGCTTCCATGCCACAAGCCTCTCATGCAAAGCTAAGATTCTACCTATAAGCACTCAGAATTCATCTGTAAGCTGTTGTATTTTTGTTGGTGAAGGTAACCAAGGTGTTTCCTAAGGCCCTATTGTCCTTTCGAAGCATTCTTGAGGCTTGATTTCTGAACTTAGGCACAAGGGATAATTTCATTAGTTACCTCCCTACAGCAGCCCATCCCATTTGTAGTTGCCAGAAGAAGAAGGCCCTTATAGTTACAATGTGGTTCCGCCATTAGGGTTTCTGTTAGATCTCACCGATAATTGCCTACATGGCACTGTGGGGTCCCAAATTCGTCACATTTTTTAATTTTAAATTGATTAAAATATTAAAAACCAACTAAAATAAGAAAATAAGAAAAAAAAATTAAAAAAATTAAACCCCATCATCATCTCTCTCTCTCTCTCTCTCTCTCTCTCTCTCTCTCCTCTGTATTTTCTTCTGTCCAACAACCCAGACTACTCCCAGCCTCAGTCGAAACCCAGACCACCCCCATCCTCAGTCGCAACCCAAGCCCCACCTCCCACCCCCAACAGCAACCTAAGCCCCACTCCCACCCCACCTCGTAGCTCCCAACCCACACCCCTAATCCCATAAGTTCCCAACTCCACCCCACCCCCCGTGCAATCCTTCTGTAGCAGGTTTTCAGGCTAACCATAGTGAATCTGGCCACTATGGTTGTTGCCAAATCTCATCCCAAGCCACCCCACCCTCATCCCAACCTCTCTCATTTGTCTCTCTTTGTCCCAATGGCCACTTTGGATGTGATGGGTTTGTGGGTGACAAACAAAATGGGGGAGGAGGGGAAGAAGTCTGTGGAGTGAGGGTTTTGTTACGGTGGACGCTAAAGTCTTGAGAAATTTTTTGTGGTGGCTAGGTAGTAGTTGATGGGTAGGGAGGGTGGTGGGCGGAGGGTGGAGGGTGACAGGTGGTGGGTGGTGGGTGGGTGGTAGTTGCTGGGAGAGAGACCATATGAGAGAGAGATATGATGGAGTTTTGTTTTTAAATTTTTTTTTCTAATTTTTAGTTGGTTTTTTAATATTTTAATCAATTTAAAAAAAGTGAAGATGTGGGCCCCATAATGCCATGTAGGCAACTAACAATGAGATCTTACGGAAACCCTAACGGCAGAACCACATTGTAACAAATTTAAAAGACCGGGGAATCTAATTGTAAAAATAAAAAAGATAGGGACTAACATGTCTTAAAGGTGTAACCACAAAGTACTAAATTGTAATTAACCCTTATATTTATTTGAGAAATACCCAACACGAAGTTTTCCTTTCAGCCTTTACTTTGCCTTGCCTTTGCCTTTGCCTTAATTCTATTTTTTAGGGTTTGCTCATGTGTTTCCGTTGCAATCTTTGCTTTGGTTAGTCTTTTTTTTAACTTGTGGTTGACGAAAAGACCTTATTTGTTATTGGCTCAAATTTTGTCCGGCAATCCCTACATCACCAGTGTTAATGGTGTCCCTTCTCCAGTTACCAGTGAAGGCTCTAACGACACTTCGATAAAGAAAATTTGGAAAGTGAGATTATTGGTTTTTCGTTTGTTAATTCGGAACACGAGCTTGCAGATATCCTGACCAAGGCAAGTATAGTGTTCTATATCTCGTTTGACAAGTTGGGCATGCGAAACATCTTCAAGCCAACCTGAGGGGGAGTGTGGCGAGTCATTATTTAGTTAGGATTTTTATTATTTACATGTTTATTCCTATTGTAATTGAGATTTATTTCCTTTTTTTTATAATCTCTTTTAGGGGTTAACATATCTTTGTACTTCTTTATCAATACCTCCATATCGGAGAAGAATGCATATATGAAAATTCTCCAATACTTTGTTTGGTGTTAAGGCCCAAAAAATCCAAGGCTGGGCCCAAACATATTTCTAGCTCAAACCGGGGAAGAAGCCCAACCAGGATATGCAAGAATTTGTCGGATGTGCTTGGACAAGTTGTGGGCCATATGCCACGCCAAGCAAACACGCAACATGCCATGCAGAAAGATCAAAACAAGCTTGTAAAAAGTACTGGCTCTGTGAACCCCACGCTTATTGACCTGTTAAGCGTCATCTAGCCAGACCTTAGCCTATTACAACACAGTAGAACTCAGATGTTAGCGTGCCAAATAAACACGCATGCAACGCCAAGCGAAAGACCATTAGTTTGGCACCAAGCCGTGCTACAAGCTTAGATGGACTCAAGCCAGGCGAACGCTTGGGGCTTGCTGAGAAGGTTGTGGTATAGATGGTTACGAATATTCACGAGGCCCATTAAGGGTTCAAGGGATGGAAGTATTGGGCTACTTGGAAGCACCAAAACTCATGCCCATTTCATGGGCCCAAACACATGGGTAAGCAATAGAGAGAGAGAGAGAGAGAGAGAGAGACAGAGATAGAGAGAGACAGAGAGACACTCTGAGAGAGAGAAGATGGCCCAATGCCTTAGGAGAATATTTAATGGTTTGCAACACTTAGGAAAGCCCCACAGCAGCAAAGGCATCCAATACCACGTCAAAAAGTAGAGCAAATCAGCTACTTCCAGTAGCTTGATGAAACCATAAAGACTTATTTGACTGTTTGAAATAAGATGCCAATGACCCAATGCCTTAGAAAAGGCCCAGCCCAACACCTTATAAAAAATCTGGCATCGTATCTAGCCATTCAAACCAAGTCAAACAGAAGACATTGCAAAGACCAAAGGAAATTCAAAAGGCATGAGGAATACCCACTGGACTAATGTCCCTACCCTTGTTTCTTTCTTCTCCAAGCTCGAATAGGAAAACTAGAGGAAAAAGTGTGTGCGCCTCACCCACATGAAGAGGTCCATTTGCATAAGGACCTTGGAACCCCAAAAGCTTCGGGCCTATGGGTTCAGGTTGGGGAAGTTTAACAATATAAGATCAAATGGAAGAAAGTGAAGAAAAAGGGGGAGGGAGGCTTGATAAAATTGAGGGTTCTAGCGTCTATAAAATGAGGCTTCTTCTACCCAACAAAGACACCACCATCCAGAGCACGACCAAGCTTTTGTCGATCAACTAGAAATTTACTCAAGACACCCCATTCTCTCCTTCCATCTCTCCCTCTCTTCCTTAGTCAAAATCCTCCCAAATCTCTCTCTCCCCTGTTTTAAGCCTTCGTTTCCATTAGAAATTCATGCTCTTTCTCTCTACTGCTAAACTCGTGAAGGCTTAGCTCCCATGCCACAAGCTTGTCAAGAAAAGCCATATTATTAATCTGTCACCTTCATCTGGTTATTGGTGAAAGGAATCCAAGGTATTTTCTAAGGTTTCACAAACTTTTCAAAACTATTCTGGAGCCCGGTTCTCGAACTTAGGCACAGGGGCGACTTTATCTGTCTCTCCTTACAACAGCCCAAGCCTATTCATCAGGCTGCTGGAATAAAAAGACCTCTACATAAATTGACGACTTTGCTGGGGAACAGGCTGTTATCTTCACCAATGCCTCCAGGAAAGAAGACCAAAAGCAATACCATGGCCTCCCAAGACAGGCCGGACCATGGTGACTCGGAATCATGGCAAAATACCTCCCCAAGATAGGAAGGACATGCAAGTGAGGGAACTTTCACTCTCACCGACCTTGTTACGGCCATTCATGCTATAGGGGAAACCAAGAGGGAGATCGTGGAAACAATCAAGGAACTGAAAAGTTCAATTTCCAAGCCAACACAGAGAAACCCCCCCCCCCCCCCCCCCCCCCCCCCCCCCCCCCCCCCAAGAAGTCTGCTACTACTGGAAAGGGTTCTGAACAAAAGGGGTCATCTTTTGTTACTCAGGAAGATGTCATTGCCATGCTAATAAAGGAGCTGAGTCGAAGCCAAGAAGATTGAAAGTATATCCCTCAACCACCATATCCATCGAGCCTACTCCAGCAGTCGTATCCCAAAGGCTACGAAGCTCCAAGCTTTGTTCTTTTCGACGGAAGGAAAGGAAGCCCAAAGGGGCATGTCAACCACTTTATTGATGATTTAGGACCACATGTCGGTGATCACGACCTCCGACTCCAGAAATTTTCAAAAATTCTCATTGACCGTGCTTATACATGGTACACAACACTGGCACCAGGCTCTATTCGCTCCTGGGAAGATTTGGCAGGCAGATTCGGTAAGAAGTACTTCCAACACGAGGAAAGAGTCAGTACAAATCAGCTCAACAACACCCGCCAAAAGCGTGGAGAGGACCCTGTAGACTTCATGGGTTGATTTCGAGACTTGGCTCTAGACTGTTACGATGAGAAAGATGAGGAAGAGCTTGTCGAAATCTGTATAAGCAATATTGTGGTAAACTGCCGAGTCTATTTGGAAAATATTGGTATCAGCCAATTTTCTCGGCTGCTGGAAGCTGTCAGGAAGACAAGCATGTTAGTCAAACCAACCAGACATAGAATGTGGAGGAGTGAGAAGAAGGAGGCACACCAAACATTAGTTGTGGATGACAAGTCATCCGGTGACTATAATTCACGAAAACAAAAAGATAGGGAGACATATCCGTCACTACCGTGCAAAGACAAAGAATTCCATGCCATTCTTGACACAATGTTTGTTGACGGTGCAATCAAACCCCTCATGCCCTACGAAGTCCCTACCAAAGAGGAAAATGGTGATCCTAGGTACTGCAGTTGTCATCAGTTTGTGGGGCATTCAAACACTACTTGTTAAACTTTAAGAAGGATCCTACATGCTAAGATACATGAGGGAGTGCTTGAGGTCCCCTCTAGGAAGCGGGCCATTGATGAAGACCCCTTGCCAAAACGAAAGGGAAAGAAGATAGTCAATGTCATCACATGCTTTGATGACTTGATTAACGATGATGAATTGTGCCACCCATGGAAGAATAACCCAAAGCCACTGGAGGCTATTTGGGAACCTTGAGGAAACATGGAGAAGGCCAACTTGTGTAAATATTCAAAACCTTCAAGTTACAACACGCCATGGCCACTTGCTGATGGATAGGATGATGATGCAAACTATGAAGTGTTCACATTAGAGATGCATGAAGAACACTACTTGGGGGCTTCGTCTGGACAACAAGAAACAGCTATTGTAATATTCCATAATCTCACATAGGTTAAAGAGAGTGTGATGAAGCGTTACCTAGGTTTGAAGCAAGGGCCTACCGTCTCACAAGCCCTCCAGAAGAATCCAAAGTTCAAGTCACTCCTTGACCAACTTGGCTTTGGACCACAAGCAGGGGAAGCAGCTGCTATGGCCCTCATGAACATCTCTGCAAAGCCTAATCCTCATTACTTCACTACCCAACCGCAAAGGTCGTTCTTGGAAAACGATAATGCTATTGTCTTCACTGATGAAGATATGGAAGTCCCGTATCCGGATCATAAGAGGCCGTTTTACTTAGAGGGTCAGATCAATGACGTGTTTATAAGGAGAGCTTTGGTAGACACGGGCTCTTCTGTCAACATATTACCTCTCTTTGTGCTCATGGCAGCTAGCATTCCACTCTCTAAAGTAGTACAGTCTCAAACAGGCATCAATGGTTTGGGGAATAAAAGCGAGGTCACAATTGGCTACATACAGATAAACTTAAAGGTGGGGCCAATCTAGTCACTTACTAAGTTTTATGTGGTGGATGTGGATGTGGCTTACCATGCTTTACTTGGGATGCCATGGCTCAACAAGCACAAGCTTGTGGTCTCCACCTACCACCAATGCGTGAAGGAAAGGATCGGGCTGAGACCACTTCGTATACCAGGAAACCAAGCATTGTTCAACCAAAACGAAGCCCATTATTCGGAGGCGAAATTTTACACCGAATGCACAGGTGCTGGAAGCAACCCATCCAAGGGTATTGGAACCTATCTACCTTCATGGACCGAAGTTTGTGATCTTAGCAATGAGGAACTCATAACAATCGTTGATCAAGAAAGAAAGAGATACTTGGAAATCAACAACCATGCTTACACTCAGCCCTAATGCTTGAAGGCTACGCTGCCTAATGGACTCACGGTGTATTGCTTATGACGGGTTTAGGGGCTCAACCTTATTTTACGGGAAAGCCCCGAGTATGGAGAAGAAGTAATGCAAGCAGACAGCCATAAAGGTCCAGAAGACAAAACACCCATGTCTTGTGCTTTCCAAGAGCCTATGATGGCACCAAGGCACATGCAAGACGATTCAACAGCAATAGCCGAGCAGCTGTAAACAATTGATTTAAGTGATGACCTTTCTGCCCAAAGGCCCATCTCTATCAGCGTTCACTTGATAATCAAAGAGAAGGAAGCTTTGAGGAAATGCCTGGTTTGGACCAAAACTTGGTAAGTCACACTTTGAATATCGAGCTTGGTACAAAACCTATTGTGCAGCCAAGAAGGAACTTCCATCCTGAAGTTGAAATGCAAATCAAAATGGAAATTGAAAAACTTTTAGCTACTGGATTCATCAAATAGATCAAGCATCCAACCTGGCTAGCAAATATAGTCTCGCGGCCAAACATAGATATTTTGATCGACTCGACCTAGGGGCAAGGCTTGCTGCCATTCATGGATGGATTTAGTGGCTACAATCAAACAATTATGTCCCCGAAGAATGCTGAGAAGACAGCCTTTTGAATGCCATATGGGAATTTCTACTACACAGTCATGCCATTCGGTCTTAAAAATGCTAGAGTGAGCTATAACAGTTGTGTTCCATGACATGATGGGAATGAAGGTGGAAGACTATGTGGATGATCTTGTGGTGAAGTCAAAAACCAGAGAAGGCCATTGAGATGTTCTGAGCAAGGTGCTGGAAAGGTGTCGGTTGTACAGGTTGAAGATGAACCCAAAAAGGTGCTCGTTCGGAGTTTCATCCAGCAATTTTTTAGGGTTCGAAGTGCATCAACGTGGCATAGACGTAGATCCTGAGAAAGCCAGGACCATAAATTATCTTGCACCACCTAGGAGTCCAAAGAAATTGAAAAGCTTCATGGGAAGATTATCGTATATCCAGCGCTTTATCCCAAGCTTTATCCCAGGCTTTACTCATTGTTGCCACAATGAGTGTTTTTACTCATTTGCTCAAGAAGGGCAAGCCGTATGTATGGAGCAAGGACTGCTATGAGGCCTATCAACAAGTTCAACAATTGATCACCAAGCTGCCCACCATGAGAGCACCCATCCCGGGACTTCCACTCAATCTGTATTTGGCTGCAACGAATGCCGCGATTAGGGCTTTGCTTGCCAAGATAGTCATGATGGGGAGGAAAGCCCTATTTATTATGTGAGTAGATAGTTAAGGGGAGCTAAAACAAGATACCCGAAGACTGAACTCTTATGTCTTGCCCTTGTTTATGCTGCATAGCGATTGTAACACTACTTCCTTGCTTACAAGCTATAGCTCATAGTGAAGTCTGATCTCGTGAGGTATTTGTTCACAAGACCGATGTTGTGAGGATGCCTCGCATGCTGGTTGCTATAACTATCCGAGTTCGATATCACGTGTATAACTTCGAGAGCTATCAAGGGACAAGCTGTGATTGAAACGCTAAGCCTATTTCTTGAAGCAAAGAGTCCACCCTCTCTGAAGAATTTTTGGGAGAGCTGTTGAAAATGGTTGCCATTGCCACAAAGGAGGAACCATGGACCCTCTACTACTTGATGGTTCTTCTACATCCAATGTCGAGGGAGCAGGTGTGGCACTCATTAACCCTAAGGGGCAAGCCACGGCCCTCTTGTTCAAGATAAATTTCCCATGTACAAATAATGTGGTGGAATATGAAGCTTTTGTTATGGGATTGTCTACGGCAAGGGAGATGGGCATAGAAAAGATGAAGATCATTGGTGATTCGAACCTGGTGCTAAGCCAATTGCAAGGGAGCTTTACTGTAAAAGAGGCAACAACTCTAGTTCTGGAAGCTCCATTATTATTCGCGTGGGTGCTAGTGAACCTTGCCTATAGGATACGCATGCTCTGGCATTTCAGAATCACGGGAACTGCATCACTTCTCTTCCTCTTTGGGGTAGTACCTATTTTCCCTTAAGAAGAAGAAGAAGCAGAGGGGAAAATATATATATAATAATTATAATAAAGGAACATCAGGCATTTGACAACTGACAACACTTACAAGAGAATGAGAGATATTCGGCGCTTTGCCAACACCCTTGCCACTCCCAGAAGTAGTAAATGTTTGAGGCCATGGTTGTTCGAGAGAAGCTGTTCCCTTGGCTTTGGAAGGGCCACTTGCCGCCACTTTGGGAATGAACCTTTTGGGTTTATTGGCAGCTTGCTTTCTCTCTGCACCATGCTCTTCCTCCTGCTTCCATTTTTCCAGCACTTGCACCATGCTCCTTTTGGAACTGCGAGGACTCTGCCTTTCCAGCTTCTTTTTTAACTTGGAAAATTCCCTAACAATCTCCCCACCATTGGAGGTAAAAGGCAACTTGCGTTTCTCACTTAATAGAATAGCCTTCTCTTCCGACACTAGACTAGCATGAGGAGCTGTTGAAGGAAGTAACATATTGCAATGGGAAGCATGGAAGTTACGAAATGAAGCAAGGTAGTAGTTCCAATAAACTAGATAACCCTTCGAGAAACCACCAACTCTTTCCTTGCCGGCTAAAACAAAGGGCCTACCACCATCCGGCACATTGCCCCTACTCCAAAAATCCCTGTGTAATGTGAAGGGGTCACTATGGTTGAGGCTAATTGGCACGCCCTGATCAAGTCCAAATTGTCACCTAACCCGATGTGCTGAGTAAACCACAGAAATTTCTAAACAACTGTCACCTGAGGTGGGCAAGGGAGACAGGCAACATTGAACAGAGCATATTTTCTAAAATGGCGACCTTGAGCCATTACCGCATGGACCTCGACTGTATCACCAGTATCCACATAAAAGGGCACATACGCAAATGCCTCTACCAAAGCATCGTAAGGACAGAGGATGAAGCCCTCAATATTGTCAAGCAACTTGCAAATCAGGGGGAGCCTGTCTGCTATGTAAAAGCCTTTGCCAAAGTCAGCAAGTAGCCTAGCATGCGAATAGGGGAGTGGGTACACATCTAACCTTTTGAGCCCCTCCCACAAAAACACCTGCAGAAAACCAGAGTTCAAGAGAGTCTCCACACCCATGGTCCTGCTGCACTTTTTTCAAGAAGCTGAACTTGGTCAAGTAGCCGGTATAAGTGCCCTAGGTACATGGGGGCTAAGGGCATTGTGTCACCTCAGGCTATAGCCAAAGCCATGCAGGCAGTCTTGAGAAAAGTCACAAAGGATAAACCTCCCAAGCCATAGCGATATAAATGTGGCAAGTCAGTAAGGCTCCCGTCTATTTGCATCACTAAAATATTGTACCCAGTTACTGAATTGGAGCGAGGTGCTGGGAAAGGTCGGAGCACCCTTCCATAGAACTGCAAGCTTATCCATGTCCTCCGAGGTTAGAGCCATGACGAAGGGGTTTTGATTCTCGCAAACAGGGAGGCTAGAAATGTTCGCCACGTCCTCAAGAGTAAGGGTGAATTCCCACCATGAACAAACAAAGGTGTGTGTCTTGGTACTCCACCTTCTAACCACATGACGGAGCATCTTCGCTTCAATATGAATATTGCATAGCTTGGAGAGAAAAATGGCATCAAGTACCTTTGCCCTGTGCAAAATGTTGCAAGTAGACGGGTCCAGAAGTTTGCTGTCAGCCCATCCTGACCAACCTTTACTGATGCTACAAGGGTACTGAAAGAATAAAGGGACAGCTAGGAATAAGCATTTCTCAATGCAAAACCTAGATATGGATGCATGGTCAATTACAGGGGTAGTCTTTGGTGTCGGCTCATCACCCACGACAAGGTTTTCACAGGCATCTTCAAGCAACAAAAGGGGCCCTCCCCTTTTTAGTTTGTCATCCAGAGAATAAAGATGATCTAGCATGGTTGGCGAGAGATCGGTGGATGCCATAATGAATCTCACTAACTCACAGGTACCTGCGGGAAAGAGGAAAAAAAAATCAGTAAGTTCCGACACCTTCACGCCTTCCCTCGAAAACTCAAAATCTCACAGTTGCAAAAGAAAGAAAAAAAAACACACACACACACACACACACAATGGTGCTGAGATCATACCTACAATAGGATCGAGCCCGTGCTCTTATAATGTTTTTCTCAAAAGCCAGCAAAAAATAAAAAAGAGTATGTATTTTGTTGGGGTACACCAACAATCCTATACGAAATCAAGCAAAAGCTTTATGAGTTTTGATAAAATTCTACCAATGAGCAACGGCCTTAAGGATATCAAGAGTTCACCTTGGTGACTTCAAGTCATCGGCGAAATTGTTGAACTTCTAGGCTAGACTGGAAGCCAAGGCAAGTCACAAGATAATCCACCCAAGAAGAAATAATAGACTTGTGAAATAATATCCCTACTGCAAAGTCAATTACTTTGAAGGACCACAAATTAACTGTTCTTGGGTAAAAGCAAAAACGCTCTATAAGTGACAGAAATAGTGCTACATGCTTATTCTCTTATGACCTTGTGTCACAACCCGGTCCTTAATTAATAGTTAATTATTAATTTATTCCAGTAAAAGACCATTATACCCCTAGAATATTTTAGTGGTTTAAAAGTTGACTTTTCGACCGGGAAGGAATTTGGGGATTTTAGTTATACCGTTGCATAGTGCGCAGCGAGATGAGTCCGTAGACACATAGTGGACTCAAATTGGAGTTGTAACGAAGAAGTTATCTTCAAAAGAAGTTCAATGGTATAACCGTAAATATTTCAAAGTTCAGTTAGTTTTAAACCCAGATTTCTGCATTTCGGGGGGGAGGGGGGGCTAGAGCAGCCGACTTCGAGAGGTGATTCCTCTCAGCTCCGACCACCGATTCAAGCAAAACCGGTCCTAAATGAACCACCTGACTTCCCTCTTCCAGCCCCAGCTCTTTGTAGCCCCGATCCACCACCATAGTCGTCGGAAACAGCCAATAAACAGGCGTTGTTGGACAATTTTTCGTAAACTTTCACCGGCTCGTTCTTCGTCATCCGGCCACCATTTCCGGTGATCCAGGTATGGAAACTCATCTATTTCTCGAGCCCTAGCTGCTGGTTGGGTAGGATTTCAAAAATTTATAGCGTAGATAACTCGATCTTGGATCCAAAGTTTAGCCAGATTTCGGGTTGAGATTTCTGCCACTTCCGGCTAGTTTTTGGGGTAGGTCCAAGAACAAAGGTGGCTCCAAATAGGGTGTTACACCTAGGGTAGGAGTCTTGAGCCGTGATTTGGAGTTATCTAAATCCTGTTATGGGATGAGCAGGTAGTTAGTTATAGGTTGTGGCCCAGATAGAAGCAATATCTCCGAGGCCTGCCAGTTTGCAGATCAGGAACAGAGGAAAGAACTACGTGTAGCTTGATCTCTCAGAAAGGGTACGTAGGCAGCCTACAGTTATTAGATGCAGCCACAAGTTGGAGTCTTTCAGTTTGTTTATTGTTTTTCAGGGCACTATGGTCATTTACGACCCACATCCATCAGGTGTTAGTTTTAAACAGGGTTCGACCCGGATTCCAAAGTGGAAATTGGGTCAGGTCGTTTCACCTTGCCCCAACATTATCTAAAGCCTTATGCTCAATCAAGTCAAGCCATCACAGGGTGGGTGCCTAAAAGTTCCTAAGTGGTAAACAATATCTAGCTCCAAGAAAACATGGGTACACAGCATCAAGCCAACACATAGCACAAAACAAGAAGAAAAAAAATAGAGAAGAAGAATCATGGGAAAGTCGCGATTTTCTTCTTCGTAGAAGGTGTTCTCAAGAATATATATATATTATATATATATATAACAATAAAAAAAGGAAATAAAAGGGGGAAGAAGGAACAATGGTTACCACAACTCTCGCTCACGTCCTTTCCAGCAGTTTGCCAAATCAAGAGAAAGGAGAGGGAAATTGAGAACTACCCTACAATTTTCTCTCCAAGCAACACAGCTCCTCACGAAGGGATCCCCTCAAGCCTAGCTTTGGTCGAATAGAAGGGAAACGCGAGATTTAGGGTTTTGAGGCAAACAGTTACTCCTCCCAATGGCTGCGAACGATTTCTTCACACGAGGAATGGTGGGGCAAGAGCCAGCGTAACCAACCAGCAGTTGTGAACGGTGCCCCTGCTGATTTCTTGTCTTCGAGGTTATCTCTATTTGGGTATGATGACGAGTTAGCACAAAACAGAGAGTGGGAGGAAGTGAAAGCATGAGTTTCTCGAGCACAAGAGAAAGAAAGAAAAAGAAAAGGAGAGGAAAATAAAATAATTTATGAGTACCTAAAAGCTGTTGGAAGGTAATCATGGGCGTTGTCACACACACAGGAAGCGAGAAGGTCATGTCACCATCGTGGATTTGATTTTTGGGATGGTTTTGATATCCAGCCCATATCAGTACCTATTCATGGCCCCAATAATCAAGGGGGCTAATGTTGAGGCCCATAAAATCCAAGGTTGGGTCCAAACATATTTCTAGCCCAAATCAGGGAAAAAGCCCTACTAGGATACGCAATAATTTTTCTGATGAGCTTGGACAAGTTGTGGGCCACATGCCAAGCCAAGCGAACACGCTACATGCCACGCAGAAAGGTCAAAACAAGCCTGTAAAATGTACTGCTCTGTGAACCCCATGCTTATTGACCTGTTCAACTCCCCCTGGCGTAGCCTGGCCTTAGCCTATTACAACACAATAGAACTCAAATGTGAGCGCGCCAAATAAACACGCGATGCCAAGCGAAAGAACGTTAGTTTGGCACCGAGCTGCGCTACAAGCTTAAGTGGACCCAAGCCACGCGAACGACTGGGGCTTGCTGAGAAGGTTGTGGTATGGATGGTTACAAGTATTCACGAGGCCCATTGAGGGTTCAAGGGATGGAAGTTTTGGGCTACTTGGGAGCACCAAAACTCATGCCCAATTCTTGGGCCGAAACACATGGGTAAGCAATAGAGAGAGAGAGAGAGAGAGAGAGAGAGAGAGAGAGAGAGAGAGAAGGTGGCCCAATGCCTTATGAGAATATTTAATGGTCTGCAACACTTAGGAAAGCCCTACATCAGCTAAGGCATCCAACACCACGTCAATAAGAAGCCAATGACCCAGTGACCCAGTTGCTTGACAAAACCATAAAGACTTAGCTGACTGCTAGAAATAAGAAGCCAATGACCTAATGCCTTAGAAAAGGCCCAGCCCAATGCCTTATAAAAAATCTAGCATCGTATCTAGCCATTAAAACCAAGTCAAACAGAAGACATTACAAAGACCAAAGGAAAATCATAAGGCAGGAGGAATACCCACTAGACTAATGTCCCTACCCTGTTTCTTTCTTCTCCAAGCTCGAATAGGAAAACTAGAGGAAAAAGTGTGTGCGCCTCACCCACATGAAGAGGTCTAGCTGCATAAGGACCTTGGAACCCCAAAAGCTTCGGGCCTATGGGTTCAGGTTGGGGAAGTTTAACAATATAAGATCAAATGGAAGAAAGTGAAGAAAAAAAGGGGGACGGGGGGAGGCTTGATAAAATTGAGGGTTCTACCGTCTATAACCCAGCAAAGATACCACCATCCAGAGCACGACCAAGCTGTTGTCGATCAACTAGAAATTTGCTCAAGAAACCCCATTCTCTGCCTCCATCTCTCCCTCTCTTCCTTAGTTAAAATCCTCCCAAATCTCTCTCTCCCTTGCTTTAAGCCTTTGTTTCCATTAGAAATTCATGCTCTTTCTCTCTACTACTAAACTCGTGAAGGCTTAGCTCCCATACCACAAGCTTCTCAAGACAAGCCATATTATTATTTTGTCACCTTCGTCTAGTTATTGGCGAAAGGAATCCAAGGTGTTTTCTAAGGTTTCACAAACTTTTCAAAACTATTTTGGAGCCTGGTTCTCGAACTCAGGCACATGGGCAATTTTATCTGTCTCTCCTTACAACAGCCCAAGCCCATTCGTCAGGCTGCTGGAATAAAAAAAAACCCTACATTTGGCAAGGTTAATACTATAGGTACCAACATGGGTTGGCTTAGTTAGTAAGGTCCCTGCACTGTGTGACAACCCACCAGTGTTCGAATCCCACTACCATCAGTCCTATGTTTGGTGGGTAATTTATAAAAGGGTTAATTACAGTTTAGTACTTGTGGTTACACCATTAAGACATGTTAGTCCCTATCTTCTCAATTTTAACAATCACATACCCCGGTCTTTTAAATTTGTTACAATGTGGTTCCGCCGGTAGGGTTTCCATCAGATCTCTCCCTATTAGTTGCCCACGTGGCACTATGGGTCCCATTTCTTTTTTTTTTTTTTTTTTTTTTTTTTTTTTAAATTGATTAAAATATAAATAAAATATTAAAAACAAATAAATAAATAAATAAATCGTTCTCTCTTTCTCTGTGCTCTCCATCTCCCTTATCGATATATTCTCCCCCCATTACCCCATGATCACCACACAAGCTCCAACCCTCAAACCCATACCACAACCACCCTCCACCCTAGCTCAGCAACCACAACCCCATGAACCCAGAACCTGAACAAACTTCAACATGGTCCATTAGACCATTAACTCTAGCGGATGCAATGGCATCCAAATTGGGTACTTTGGCCACCTGAAGAGGAGTCTTAAATACAAACTTTGGTATTGACACATCACCCACACCATCAATCAACAAAAATGCCACTCTTTTTTTTTGGCTGCTGAGGAATACCCATGCATGCTAATAATATTACTCCACCCACACCCCCCCCCCCCCCCCCCCAAAAAAATTTGGATGCTGAGGATTACCCATGGTACTTTGATCGAATTCATAGTTGCCTAATTCGCTCACCCCCTACGAATTTTGATATGGATCGAGCGTACCCAAAGGGAAATCGAGGGGTTTAGGGTTGAGGGTTTGTGGGTGAAAAACAGAATGGGAGAGGATGGAGGGAGGGATTTGTAGGGTGGAGGCTTTGTTGGGGTTCTGGGTTTGTTAGGGAAGGGGGGGTCTGTGGATAATTTTTTTTCTCTTTTTTGTTATTGCGGGCTAGGGTGGAGGGTGGGGGGCGCTGGGGTTTTGGATTCGTGGGGGTTGTGGTTGCAGGCTAAGGCAGAGGGTGGTTGTGGGTTTGAGGGTTGGAGCTTGCATGGTGGTCATGGGGGAATTGGGGGAGAATATATCAGTGGGGGAGAGGGAGAGCACGGAGGGGAAAGAGAGAGCAATTTATTTTTTAAAATTTTTATCTTTTTTTAATAAATATTTTATTCATATTTTAATCAATTTAAAATAAAGAAAAGAGAAAATGTGGGACCCATAGTGCCACCTAGGCAACTAACGGAGAGATCTGACGGAAACCCTAATGGCGGAACCACATTGTAACAAATTTAAAAGACTGGGGTGTGTGATTGTTAAAATTAAGAAGATAGGGACTAACATGTTTGAAGGGTATAACCACAGGGTACTAAACTGTAATTAAAATTCCTTTGTAAATCCATACAAGTGGTTGCAAGGCATAGGGGCCTTTGCCTAAGTCTTTCCTGGTAAAGGTCTGGGGTTTGCTTTGGCCCTGAGTATGAAGGTAGCATCTCCCTTCCCTAAATTTTTGTTCATAAAAAAAATAAAAATAAAAATAAAAAGAATAGGTTAATACTATAGCTAAACTCACAACATAACAAAATTTGGGGGTCCTTGTAGTCATTTGTCCTTGTAGACAAATCACAATTTGACATGTATAAACTACTTTTTCTTTTGACAATGTTAAGGAGTTACTTTTACATATATGTAAAAGTATGATTTGTGTAGAAGAAAAAATGGCTCCTAAGAGCATCTTATGCAGACTCTCTATCCTCTCATCTCTAGCTACTTTGGCTAAAAAGAAGGAAAATCCTCCTTTCACCAGACTCCCTACCTGGCTCTCTATTGTGGAGAACTAACTTTTGGCTCTCTACATCTAGCAGGGAGGAGAGAGAATTTGTACATCTAGCAGGGAGGAGAGAGAATTTGGGTAGGAGAATAGAGAAAAAGGGGGAGAGAGATAGAGACATTTGGGAGGTTGGTGGGGTTGGGTTTCTACTTTTCTTTAAATATAT